CACACACACACACACACATACACACACACACACATACACACACACACACATACACATACACCCGCCATCCCGCACACACACATACACATAGATTACTGAGAGATATACGTTCTACTTTATAAGCAATGATGTACATGTGTATGTCTGTTTACGATTGATCTGTGGATGGTTAATGAGTAGTCGGGCGTTATTTGCCCCTTCTTTCCTATCAAACATCTGTGTGGGTGGTTGGCTGGTGCTCTGGTGTGGTTTGGTCCTTCTTTCCTATTAAACAACTATCGTCTTTATCTCCCCTTTGTTATGTTTGTTACTCTTTTGTAGCACCTTTAATCTTCGGCACTTATATGACCTTATTGTGTTGCAAGTGCCATAAAACTCCTACTAAGACTAAAACTGAACATATGCCTTCCTTATCTCTCCTCTTTTTCTTTGTATGTTACTCGCTTGTAACACTTCTAATCTTTGACACTTATATGACCCTTTTTTGTTGTTAGTACTGTAAAAACATTTTCTACAACTATACCAGATATAAAGTGGCGTAGGTGGGGCTTGGCGTGACCAAACATTGAGATGGCTCACATTGTAAAGGATGCATAATGACTGAAAAGACAGTGAAATAGCATATAAAAGGCAACAGGAAAATATAAATAGATTCAAAGGTATTCTAATCTTGTTCGTGGGAATGCCACGCTTGAAACAAGGAAAATAGACTCCCCTATATGTTATACGTTGACATAATACGTGTCCTGTGGTGTTTATGTTGAGTAAATTTGCCGATGAATCATTTGTTGAACGGTGCATTCTTCATGATGAACCATTCTTCATTTGAATATCTTTTTTCTTTCCATCCACAACAGGATGCGAAAATGTTGATGTTTGATGTGGTCCCAGTCTCTTGACAGTGAGCTTGGCGTTTGTTGGGCCTCAACACGCTCAAAGCCTCGGTCAAGTGCAGGCCCTACAAACGCATTTTAACTCTTATGACATCGTCACAGTAACACGGCTTAAAACTATTGAAAACACAGAGAACAGAGGAAAAGGAGGGGAGGGGTGAATGGGGAGGGTGTGCTCAGTCTAGGCTTTGGTCTGGAGCCGCGAGGGTGGGCAAACTAGGAGTCACGCCATGCCTAGGCACGTGGCATATTGCGGCTTCAGCCCCTGACCCTAATAGAACCACCGATATCTTTGTTTCAGCCTTGAGCCCTGCAAGGTAAATACCCCAGTTATATTCAGTCTATGGGAACCTAAGCACTGGGGCTTAAGGGACAAACCATTATAATTTGATTTTCCTAGACGGAAGGACCACCTGATTGGACGGAGCTATAGTCGCAGTAAATAGTAGTAGATACACAGACCAAACAGATTACTACTCGAGTAATTATGCCTCACATGTTGTGTTTGAGTGTTCGTGGAGTTTTTGCTTTTATCGGAATAAATTAGTATGCTTTGTCCCTTTAAAAATTGTTGTGAAATGTTTTATTATGATTGTAGTCACATAACGTTTTGGTGAAGAAAACCAGGTGGTTCTGAAACTGCAAGCCCCACTTCACAAGACGCCACTAATGATTTATACTACAAGATTGTTCACTCCGCCAAAAAAGCGTCCTGTCGTTACTGTTGCTGTTTTTGGGGGCTTTCTTTCGTTTCTTGATTAGAAAACAGTAGCCCAAAGGCATAAAGCCCGAAGTATTATGTTGCTGTCCTCAGTCCCCATACCGTCGTCACCAAACGACAATCTTGATTTCGCTTTATCTTTGGTGTACATGTGCATGTATATCTACTTTTACTGGCCTTCTATCTGACCTCTCTCCTCAACTTTAGCTCACGGCTGTGAACTACATTTTACCAATACCACCACTGGGGTAGCTTGTATCCCTATATCTGCTGTCTACTGCCTGGCTTGTCCCAGCACTGTTCTCTGACAGCGCACAGACGTTAACCTTGCCTTTTTCCCGACGTCTGTCTCGATCTGCTCTTGTCTACTCGTGTACAAGCACGGATTGCAATTGGCATTTCAAAATTCTGGGCAGATACTCCTGTTGCCCGAGGGTATAATTCTAGCTCAAAACGTGCAGTAAAATTTTTAAGTGAGTGCCTGGGTTTGTGGGATTGGAACCCACAGGGCAAGAGATCAAGGGGAAGACCTCGTGGAACCTGGAGAAGAATCACAGAAATCGATGTACAGAAAAGTGAGAAGACATGGAATAACATCAAGAAGCTAGCCCAGGATTGAGAAAAGTGGAGGGTGTTTGTCCGTGGCCTATACCCTGGTGCAGGGTGATAAAGGCAATGATGATGATGTCTGGGTTTGAGAACAATAATCAACTGGACGGAATCGCCTTTCCCAGTACACGGGCATAATGAAATTTTGAGTAGACGTTTCTGCTGCCCAAAGGCATCAATTGAAGTCAAAACGTGAATTTATGAAACGAGCCTCTGGGTTTGAGAATAATCAAACAGGACAGAGACCTCTTTCAAGTACTTACACTTGAATTAGACAATTGTCTTTTTCCTACCATCTGTCTCGATATGCTGTCTCTCTACTACTGGGGCAAGTTTAGTCCTCGGATTGCACCAGAATGTCGTCAGACTAATTTACATTGTTTGAACAATAAGGAAGAAAGAGCGAACGAGAGAGAGAGAGAGGGGAGAGAGAGAGAGAGAGAGAGAGAGAGGGAGAGAGAGAGAGAGAGAGGGGGGGGAGGGGGAGGGGGGGAGAGAGAGTTCGTTTGTGTGTTTGTGTGTGTGTGTGTATATATGTGTGTTATGTGTGCGCACGTGTGAGTGTGTGTGTGCAGTTGTGTGTGTGCAGTTGTGTGTGTGTGTGTGTGTGTGTGTGTGTGTGTGTGTGTGTGTGTGTGTGTGTGTGTGTGTGTGTGCGTGTGTTGTGTTCCTAAGGCTTGGAGCCAGGTCGCTGGTAGACAACCATATTGATTTGTCACTTGGAATAAACACACCGTTACTAAAAATCTTTTCTTTTTCAGACGCGCAATAGCCATCTATTCGGTGCCAACGGACGGTAGCATACCTGAGATCACTATGCTCTCTGGGAATGCATCAGAAATTTCAGCAAAAATCGAATCAGAACCAGAGCCAGGTCTTCCCTCGCCCAAACAAGCAGGGATAGCTGAAAAATGCAGACCACCTTGTTTGCCTTATATGAAAACCCTTACTCTCTCCACTGAAGGCTCGTCTCCATATTCATCAGAAGCGATCTCCATCTCTACTTGTTCGCCGAACATGGCTATGGCAATGCCTCTCCTTTCACCACAAGTTTCGCTATCACATTTGTCTGCAATGGAAGCTACATCACCTCCCTGCTCTAACCCATCCGCCTGCGACAGCGAGAAAAGACCATGTTTGAAGAACACCTCGGAACAAGACAGTGAAGGAACTGAGCAGTTTGTTTGTTTCTATTGTGATGTAAAGTGTCATTCAGAATGGGCGATCAAGAGGCACCTGAGGGGGAATCACAAGGAAGAAGATGAACTCTTGTGGAGGAAGGAATCTGCGCCGGAGACTTTTTTTGTGAAAGACAAGCCGGTTCGCAGACGAGCTACCTTTAAGTAAGTTTGTACAATACTTAAGTGGGACTAGTCCCTGAACCTAATGATATACTTAATTACACACTCACACGCATGCGCGTCCACACGCACGTGCGGGCACACACACACACAAACACACATGCATACACACACATACATATACACACACGCTTACACGTATACACCTACATACATATACACGCACATACACCCACACACACAAACACACACGCACACTCACGCATACACACAATCTCCCACACGCACATGCATACAAATATACTCACGTGCATACACGTACTTCTACCTTACTGAGGGATTTGTTGAAGTGCGTCATACTTTAAATTTTCAGGCAATGATGTATTTAAATTTTTATAACTTCACTGACCTTTGGGAGGTTGACGGTTGATGGATACTCAGGTGAAGTTTGCTCACTTACTATATTTCTGTAAAAAATCAATATATTCCTTAACTCACGTCTAATCTTTGGCACTTGCATGACGTTTTGTTGTTGTTGCAAGTGCCATTTAACTCTTACTAAATCTTAACCTGATGTATACGACAAGATGGATCACTCCGCTATAAATTATGAAAAGAGTCCAATCTGCGATGTTTCTCTTACGTAGAGTTATTGTGTTGTTTCTTGATAAGAAAAGAAAGAAGACCAAAGACTTAAAGCCCGAAGTATTTTGTTGCTGTCCTGTCCCCATACAGTCGTCTCCAATAGACGGCAGTTTTTTATTTCGCTTTAACTTGGGTGTGCATGATGAGTAAAGTATCTACTGCAACTACAACTGGCCTTCTATCTGACCTCTCTCCCATTCTCTAGTTCACGGCTATGAACTACATGCTGACAATACCACCAGTGGTATAGCTTATTTCTACATGTACTGTTTACCGTCTTGCCTGTCACAGTTCTGTTCTCTGACAACATGCCGACGTAAACATTGCCTTTATCCTAACTTCTGTCTTGATCTTCTCTCTGTCAACTCCTGGCGCAAGCTTAGTCCTTTATTATTCCATCTCGCTGCAAAATGTCGTCAAGTTAATTTACATCTTTTGAATAAGAAGAAAGGAAGAACAAGAAAGAAAGAAAGAAAGAAAGAAAGAAAGAAAGAAAGAAAGAAAGAAAGAAAGAAAGAAAGAGGAATATTATTTGTTTATATCTGTATTGCTAGTAGGCGAGCGAGGAAACGGGTCGCTGGCAGGCAACTTTGTTGATTTGTCACTTGGAATAAACGCACTTTTACAAAACATGTTCTTTTTTCCAGACGCTCAATAGCCATCTCTTCGGTGCCAACAGACGGTAGCATACCTGAGATTAGGGTGCGCTCGGGAATTGCATCAAATTATAGTTCAGCGGAAATGAAATCTGAACTAAAGTCGGATCTTCCTTCCACCAAACAAGCAGTGACCGCTGAAAAATGTGGATCGCCTTATTTGCCAAATATGATAACCCCTACCCTTTCCACTGAAGGTTCGACAATGCGTACCCTTTCAGCAGAAATTTCGTTATCGTCTCCTTCCAGTTCTAATCCATCATCCTGCAATAGTGAGGAAGAAACGTGCTTGAAGAACACCACGGAACGAAGCAGTCGAGAAGGAACTGAGCTGTTTGTTTGTTACTATTGTGGTGTAAAGTGCCATTCTGAATCGTCCATCAAGAGGCACCTGAGGGGGAATCACAAGGAAGAAGATGAACTCTTGTGGAGGAAGGGGTCGGCGCCAGAGACTTTCTCTGTGAAAGACGAGCCCGTTCGCAGACAAACTACTTTTACGTAAGTTTGTATACACAATTTTTTAGTGGCTTAACGTAGTCCCTAAACCTCACATTAACACACACACACACACACACACACACACACACACACACACACACACACACACGCACGCACACACACACACACACACACACACACACACACACACACGTTGTATCTAGTTTCTGTCTAAAGTAGGGTATGGGAGATTTTACAACAGTGTTATACTCTGCCCCTTGGGTCGAGTGCCAGGTGTCCGGGCTGGGGGTATCAGAGATTCAATCTTTTGCGTGAAGACGGAGGCTGCCCGGAAACACGATGCGACCACGTCTGTAGTTTTACTCAAGGGACGTCCATTGTTATCTGAGGATGAAGGGTGGAGATTTATTACCTTATGACGTCAATCTTTAGCGGTTCGCTATATCGTGTTGGGTTGCATTGTTCATTGTTCTGGTCAAGTGAACAGGTTATATTATTTGCACCGGGTGTAGAAGGTGTTCATTCGGACGGAGTGTAATCCGCCCCCATTTCGCCGCTGCCCTACCCGTGGAAAGTTTGATCCTTAACGCGCCCTCTGTTTGTAATCGAATAGTTAAAATATGGCAGATGTAGGGTATCGAAACTGGTAAATGATCATTCGAAGTGGCTAGCCGTACTTAGATCTAGGTTTGGCCCTATCGACTCCAACCTGTCAAGTTCACAGGTCTCATTGATCTAGATCTAGTCATTATTCAGGTTCAAATACATGCAAGTCAGTAAGGCACCTTTTTTCTGAAATACAAATACTTAAGGCATTGCAAACTAAAAATTTCATTTACAATTCAGCCATCAATATTAAGTACTGCTAGCCTGACAGTCTAGCCGTCCTTAAGTACGGCTAGCCTGGCTGTCTACCAGGACTTAAGTACGGCTAGCCAAGAAGTCTAGCCGTACTTAAGTACGGCTAGACTGCAAGTCTAGCCGTACTTATCTTAGGCCCTATTAACATTACAAAACAGGAGGTATAAAATACATGCACTGTCATTATTACACCTGGTTTCGTCTCAAATACAAATACTTTAGGTACTGCAACTAAAAATTTATATTTACAATTCAGTAGGCCTATTTTATTAATGGTCAGTCTAGCCATCATACTAAGAATAAGTACGGCTAGCCCAGCTGTCTAGCCGTACTTAAGTACGGCCAGCCAACCGTACTTAAGTCCATGATCATTTTCACATCTAAGAATTGTGTATGTGTGTGTGTGTGTGTGTGTGTGTGTGTGTGTGTGTGTGTGTGTTTGTGTGTGTGTGTGTGTGTGTGTGTGTGTGTGTGTGTTCTTTTGAAGTACAATGTTATAGTAATCCTTGCTCACTATGGGGAGGTGGGGATAAGACTTCAAACAGGGTAGAACTATATAAGTATCACTTTATATTGGATATCAATTATTAAAATAGGATACGAATCAGTGAGGGGTGAGATAAAACATTTTTGATGTAACAATTTGAAAGGCATTCTCTTGACAAACTGTTCAATGGTAATTTCTTTTTGCATATTATCCCTCTTTCAGACTGCTCCAGCGTTTAATCTTCTGTGTGTCTCTCTTTCTCAGTTGAGCATACTGGCCAGTTTCCACGGCATTGATTTTCAAGTGGTTCATTGTCTGGTGGTCACTGAGTGCCCTTATAAAAAGGAAAATGTTTGGTGAGGCGAACCTAAACATCTTGGTAGTAGAGAATCTTTTGTAGTAGCGAGTATTCGAGGCCGTATTCGATGTCTCTGTAACTGCCTAATTTAGCTAGTTATATCAATACCAACGCATGACGAGTTAATGATCAGCTTCCCCGACAGATAACTTGTTTTATGACCGGGTGGTGAATTCGAGATCCCCTGTCAACTCTTCCCCCTCCAACAGACTAGGAGCGATGCGGTATGTGGGGTCATTTAACTTTACGAGGAAAGGCTCTTAGTATTTTAGCGGTATCTGCAATAACGATCCTTCTCGTTTCAACATTGTACGGTCTAGTACGCTCTCTACAACGCTTTGAGTAACTCCAAGCTACACAACGGTTGCAAATAGCCAAAGCGTTTTGCCTTGTGGTGAAGATACGCAAGTAGACCGACTAGTTTTCAGTGGATTTCTAGATTGACAGGTGAGGAGGCGCGCTTTGTACGTAGTACTTTCATCGCATGAATGATGTAAATCGTGTCGATGAGGACGTAAAACACCTTTGTATATAATTCCCGAAAATTGATGTAGATCAACTTGAAATAAATGTCAACCCCCCCTCCTCCAAATTTTCACAAGTTTCTCGACTACAGTTCATTTGCACGGCTGCTAGGAGCTGAGATACAGGCTGAAGCAGAATTGTCTAATATTATTATTCGTTATTTTATGGGATCCGATTTTTTTTAAAACTTAAGGACATCAGACATCAATTCATTACCGGAATCTGACATTATAACTTTTAGATTGACGTGCACTGCCAATTGGCGTTTCCACCACAGTGCTACCGGTAGGAGCGTTTTTTTTTTGTTGGGGGGGTGGGGGGGGGGGGCTTGAACTTTGTACCCCTCTCAGAACGGGATATAGTCCAAACAGTACAGGCGGGGTTGAAGCCCGCTTTCAAATTATGTCGACAGGCGGGTAAATAACTTGTTTAACCCTATCCGTATGTCGTGTTTTACTATCGTATCCATACGTGGGGAACTCTCTGCCACCACTTTCCAAAGAGGAAATTTACTCGTTAATCCGATCCGCATGCTTTGCATAGCAGTCTGTCAAAATGATTTTTTGAGAAACACTTAAAATTTCAAAGATATCTTCCCCTCAGAAGCATTTTTTAAAATATGAAGAATACAACCCCGGGGTACAAAATGAACCCAGGGCGTACGGATAGGGTTAAAACTAATAAAACTCCCAGTATGCTTTAATCATAGACACCTTCTCCCGGCAGCTGAATACACGCACTAAGAGTACCCACATGAAATAATGGAGATAGAGATAGAGAGAGAGGGGGGAGAGGGAGAGAGAGGGGGGAGACGCAAGAGATAAAGGGAGAGAGAGAGAAAGAGAGAGAGAGAGGGAAAGAGGGAGAGAGTGTGTGTGTGTGTGTGAAAGAGAG